CAGATCCTGCTGGCACAGGACCCACCCAGGCTGCAGCCTGCTTCTTGCTCGGGTCTATGGCAGTGAAGGGGAACAGCCAGCAAGAAATCACTCCACCAGCAAACATGTCACCTCCTGTGTACCTTCTTTTTTCCATGTCCTCAAGCTACCCGCTGCTGTGCAACGTTGCTCTTTTACTGGCATCACCATCACCATGTGGGTGCTGTTGAGTCTGGTCATGCATTAAGGGAAGGGTTTGTGGGTTAAACACCACAGCAGTGGTGCTGGAAGCATGCAGGAATGGTGCTAAATGGTGTCATCCAGATGTGAGGGAGGTTCAACCATCCACAGAGCTGTGTACACTGTTTGGAAATGACAAAGTCAGTCTGAAGGGAGTATTTGGCTAGTAAAGGGCATCATTTGGGTAGTCTGTGGTTCTGGGAGGATAAGGCATACATGGGGGTGTCTGCTGTGGCCAGTGTGAAATGTAAAAAGGCTGAGAACGGTCCATCACCGAGGCAATCCACCATGCCCAGCCATGCCAGTGACCACACTGCAGCCCAAGGCTGACACAGATGATGCCTTGAACCCAAACCCAGGTTAAATTCTTTCAGTTGTCCCCCAAGTGGTAATTCATTCCCCCTCCAGGTTTTTCCTGGGGAGGGAACACACTGACACACTCTGGTTTTTTCCTGCATTGCACAGGGGATATGTGTTGTCCATAACTTTAAGGGCAGTCATGCAGCTCCTTCTAAACCGAAGCCTGAAGACCCACGAGGAATGCCACTAATGGCTTTTCCCAGGGTGGAAAGTCCTCTGGAGACACTGAGTGCACAGGTACTGTAAATCTCCTATCCAGACCATCACCAACGATATTTTCTCTTGCATCAAAGTAAAAAAGTAGTTTTTTACCTGACCACATATGCCTCATTTCAAGCCCATTGAACAGAGGGAATCTGCATCACAGCAGACTTTGTTTTGAGGCATTTATCCCTGAAACTATCAAACACTGTAGATTTTCTGCCCCCATACATGTCCAGAGCTAAAGAAGTAGGATTTCACATGCCTCACAAACTTTTGCTTAGGAGAATAGAAAACTGGGAGAAAAGTAAAAATAATTCTGCCTATTTACATTCCAGAAAACTTTTTGGGATGTGTGAAGGATTTACTCTTTCCTGAAGATAAACTACTCTGTCCTCAAAAATATTACAGAGATTAGGTTTTTTATCTTTATTACTGTTCAGTATCTTCTAGAATAGGAAGAAATCGTATACTTTTTTCTATCTCTAATTCATCAGAAGAAAAATTATTAGCATTCTTTCAAGCCTGCAAAAAAATAGTGGGAATATCAACATTGACAGTATTTCTGTTAAAACTACTAAATTTAAATGGCTTGTGTTAACATAACTGCATCTTACCCAGTCCTTTGAAAACAGACAAGAAAATGGAAGCTGCCAGAAATTCTGGGAACAAGGATAAACTGTAGTTGATGAGTTATCTGAAATACACTGGTGTAATTTATTTGGTCTTTAAACTGTACTTCCTTTATTAGATGGCCTGTCACACATGATGTGGGGCAAGATCAATAGTGACTTTTGTTAAACTCTTTGTGAAATAAACTGAATAGAGGAATTTAAAAAAATGGGAAAAATACTGTTGCTAATGTCTGGAAATACTTTGCTTAATTGAAGAGTCAATTTTGATTAGGCAAAGATTTACTGGAAGACTTTCCACTAAATCTGCAGAACTGTGTGGATTAAATGTTCTCTTGATGGGTTTATAGTTCAGAAACCAAGTGCTACTTATATATCCACATTGTGTTGTGTAGGGCTGAGCAGGTGAAAATATTCATGACCTGCGAGAAACATTTTGTCCAGTCAGCTGTTTATAGCTACTGGACTGTCAAGTGCAGGTAGGGACTGAACTTTAACTGTTGGTGTCCACCAGAAATCAACAAGGTAATTTTCCTAAATTATAATTATTGACCATACATCTACAGTGCAGGTGTAATGAGTGAGGTTTTTTCCCACTGCTTTTTCTAGTGAGTGAGGGTTTTTCCACACTAGTAGGGTATGTCAGTGCCAGACTGCTGTATACAAACATTCATGTGTTTGCCTTTTCCTTTCTGCAGAATCACTCTGCCTCTATGACTGAAGTGACCTGAGATGGAAGATCAGCAGACGAAGCTATTTTTTACTACCCTCCAGTAAAATACTCCAAAACACACAGTTACTAAATGTCTAACTGTGATGACCAGTATTATGTTATGTCTAGTTAGAGGCTAATGTTTTGTACTTTTTTTGTATGAGGAAGTGATGTAGCTTGCCCTGATTTTTTGTCAGCTTTAATATTATTATGCCAGACTTTAAAAGCAAAACAGAAAAAGAACAAAAAAAACCCTTTTCTTGTTTAAAGTGTGCACTGAGGAACTACATCTATGGAATTGTTGATGTTGTTATGTGATATTTGTACACAATTTCTTTTCTTCTCAGTTTTGAATTTATATATCTTGGGGGGAAAAAAGTTCACTTTTACCTTTTCTTACCATAAGAAGTGCTGGGTCAGATTCTCATCTGAGTAAACTCAGCATGGATCTGAAGTAATTGCATACATTTAATTCACATTAAAATAACAGTGATCAGGAATCTAACCTGAATACTAGCAACAAGAAACAAAAATCCATCCTTGATCCAGTGAGCTACTTAAGTGTTCCCTGGGAGTTAATGGACTTCAGTTCCCACCCAGTTCCCAGACTAGAAGCATGTCCTTAAGCACCTCACTGAATCAAAGCCTGATTGTTCTGGTGTGGGTGATTGTGCCAGTTATTGAAGAATGACTAAAACAACATCCTCAGTCTGCAGTATAGACAGACTGGACGTCAAAATTGATCATAGTAGCTGATAGCATGTGAGCTGACTATATCATCTCCCTAGATCCTCATTCCTCCCCAAGGCCCAGCTAAAGCTCCCAGTGAAACCTGGCTTCAGGAATTGACTATGGGGATATACAGCCACCACTGCGGGGCTGAGGCTGAGCTTTAAGTGTTGCATCATTTCATCATAGATTTGTGGGGTAACTAGTGACACTGGTGCAAAGGAAAAGTGGCACCACTCCTTCACCAGGGTGGCATTCCTTGGCACTTAAATTGGCATAGCCAAGAAGCCAGTTTTGCTGCCCAAAATATGTTTCTTTTCCTAAGGGGCTTTGACAAGCCAAGAAAAAAAAAAAAAGGAAAGACAAGAAAAGACAGAAAGAAAGAAAGACAGAAAGACAGACAGAAAGAAAGAAGCTGAGTCTGTAGTAGCAGTCTGCTTTTTTTTTTTTTGAAATTCTGCCATACAGAATTTATATAAAAACTGCTATATTACAATTTAACAACTTTGTCTAAGCAGTATAAAGACAACTAAGTGTGGTTTGGGGATGGGAAGAACAACAAAAAAGCCCATTTACAATGGTTAGAACTAGGGCAAAGGCTTCATTAAATGATTTTTCACTGTTTCTAGGATTTTCCTGCATCTCATTCTTCTAGCATGGTGATAACTGCTGTGTGTCTCCTTTAAAGAATGGAGCCTCTGTACTTTTACTGGAATGTTTACCTCACATTTCCATGTTGGTTCTTCTTGGCTTTTTTTTTTGTATATTTTTTCCAAAACAGAAGCAAAAAAAAAATTATTAAAAAAGCAAACGTGAGCCAGTCTTTCATTTGCCTAGGACACAAAGAAAACCTGGAATGTCTGTGTCTGGTCATGTGGTGTTTCTTCCTTCTCCTGACTCTACTGATGTCTACTTCTGGCTTAGGAATATAAGGATCAGACTGGGGCCATGCTTTCTGAGGCCATGAGGAGCCTTTGCTAAGTGTTCTGGGTTCCTCACTGCAGCTGTAATCAGAATTCCAAAGGGAACAATCTGTTCTGAGTCATTTTAATAAGAAATACCCTCCCAAGCTGGCTTTTTCACACTTTCTTCTGATCTTCACTACTGCTCTGGCCTAAAACAAAAGGGCAGGGCTTCTATTTATTTATTTATAATTCAATTCAACTGAAGTGACAAACTTTTAAAAGCCCAGGGATAAAGTGATTAAGCATCTAGAAGTCTTGCCCTTCCATGGCACAGGTGCTGTGTGTAAGACTTTGATGTCATTTCAGATTTCCGCTTCTTCAGTTTGTTACAAGCAGTTAAATGTTTTGCATCTCAAACACCCACATGTGATCCTCTTCCCTTGTACTTCCTGCGCTGATGGAAGCACGAGGCCTGCACCTCCAAGGGACTGGTATGTCTGAGACCAGGGAAAAGGCAATTTAACTCAACTCAGACACAGCAAAACACGAGGCAAGCTGCTGTGAACTCCTTTCTTGCCTGTCCCAATTCCCAATCCAGTTTTTCAGTCTGTTCTGATCACATTACATGAGCTATCAAAGTCACATCCTGGGAGAGACACAGAAAGGGGAATGAGCACAAAGTGCAGCTACAACTGGAAGTGTTTTCTCAGACAGTGTTAAAGATGAAGGAAGGAGGTGCAGCTATCTCTGGTTTTGATGGAAGGAGATAATTTCATGAAAAAGTAACTTCCAATTCACTGCTCCCGAACAGCCTCTGAAGCCAACAAGATGACAGAGTTAGCCATTTGTCACACTGTGCCTTCCCATAAGCTACAGGGGAGGGATTTGTGAACATTCAGCCTTCCACGGTGATCAGTGAAACATCCCCAGGGCACTCACCCCAGTTCACCCCGTAGAGGAACACATAGGTGCACACCTACACTATTCTGTAATTCTCCAAGAGTCAAAAGGAGAAAAGAAAGCATTTCTTAAATTTCTTCAGAGCTTTTGAAAAGAAAGCAACATTCAGAAGTTTCCTCAGTTAAGAAACTGAGCACTGTAACACACAAAAGCGGCAGTGCCTGAGTGTGCTTCATGCACCTGCACACTGAAAAAAAACAGGGGAGCAAGGGTTCAAGGCTTGGAGAGGTATAACCAGGACATGTCTGAACTATTCCCAGAAAGATCACACAGACTCTCAACCTCATTGTAAACAACTTGTTTTATAGAAAACACTCATAAAGTACTATGCATTTCTCAGACTGCTTATTTTCTTGTCCTCCTGACTTCACTGGTAACCTCCTCTGAATAAAAGCAGACCTGCATCATCACTTAGATTGGAAGGAAAACTAACACCCAAAGAACTTAAAAAACAGGGCCCTTAACAGACACTGGAGAATTCAACAAGATGCCTCGACAGCAGTTGATTTTACAGTGCTGTTGGAGACTTCACTATTACTGAGTGATTTCAGTGAACTGAAATTCACAGATCTCACCCCAGTCAGAGGGCTCTGCTGCTGCCCTGCAGCACCAGCCAGACACAGGGATGCTGCGCAGGGGGACTCACTGCTGCCAGATGATTTTCAGGTTCGAGGGCAGCTTTGCGGCCGCGAGTTCATCGATCTTGCTGCCGTCCCTCACGGGGGTGCGGTAGAAGCCCAGCACGTCCCCGGCACGGCGCATGCAGTGCAGCTGCGAGTTGGGGACGGCGTGTCCCAGCTCCGCCGCCAGCCGGGCCAGCAGGCGGTGCTTCAGCCGCTTATCCTGCAGCGGAGCCTGCTGCCAGTCCTCGGGAACAGAGGGCCCGAAGACCTCCCTGACGTGGGACTCGAGGCAGCTCAGCAGGTCCTCGGGCGGGACGTAGCTCCGGCTGCGGGGCGGGGGCTGGATCAGGCTGGGCTCGCTCCTCTCTTTCTCAGGAACTGCTCCGTCTGCTTCCACTGCTCTTTCCTCCTTCCTGTTGGCACCAGAACACCTTTTCAGCCTCTGGCTACTTAAGACAAAGTCAGAGCATTTTTGTATTCGTGGTGTTTTAAACCACTCAATCCAGACACTCCACACATCCCATGGACTCATCAGGTCTGTTGGCCAGAAGTGCACAGGCCTTCCCCAAGTGCTGCTCCCCACACAGGCTGCCTCCGCAGAGCAACCACCCACCCACCTTCTATCATGGGTCTGAGTGAAAACAGCATTTTAACAAGATTAGGGTTTTTTTCTGTTACAACTCCGTTTTCTAATCAGCTGTGAATAAAAAGCACACCAGAAAATAACCACTACTACAAAAGCAAATCAGTGCCCATATGTAAAAAAATCATTATTACTTTTTAAATAAAAACTTTTGCCTTCTCATATACCCCAATCTAGTCAACAATCCATGCGTGGTTTCACGCAAAATGTTACAGAGGAACTGTTTTTCATTCCCGCGAAATCCCTCTCTTCCCACTCCTAACAAAAGCAGTAACAGTTCTAAAGGCTCCAGCCCTGCACCACTGCACCCTCACCAGCAGTGCCCTTCGGTGGGCGCTGCTTGCCCAGAGAACCTGTGGAGTCTCCTTCCCTAAGGACATTCCAAAGCTATGGACAAACCCTGAGGGCTTTGCTCAGGCGGCGCTGGGCTAAATGACCTCCAGAGAGCAACAGCCCGGTGCAGGCCCAGAAGGCCAGAAGCCACCCCCGGAAGCCACCCTGTGCCCTGCGGGTACCTGCGGCCGCCCCACAGCGCCCTGAGCCCCGCAGAGCCGAACCCCGGTCTCTGCCGCGCCGCCACCCGCAGCGCCGCCATGCTGGGGGCGCGCCACGCTCCTTCCTCGGCCACGGCGAGTGACGCATTTCTGTCGCGCCCCGCAGAGCCTCATGGGAAATGTAGTCCGTACCCTCAAGCCAGCCCCCTCGCTGGGAAACTCAATGTGTGGAAATTTCCTTAGGAAAAGGCGTTCCTTGATGTTTGGTCTTTGTGTGCTTTCAGGCCTAATCGACAAGCAGGGAGATTTTGTCCCTGTAACAGAAACTAGCCCACAAGCTGGAAGTGATGGCCAGGCCTTGGAAAGGCAGATGACTTCTTGGCTGAACTGCCTTGTTGAGGTTTAGGGCTTGACAGGCTTCAGTGACCTCAGACAAAGGGCAGGTCAGCAAGGCTTGGGAAGAAGGATGCACCACTCATGGTGGACACAAAGAATGCAGAATTTATGGGCACAAGGACATTTGGCAGAACCCTCGAGAAAAGGAACTAACTGATAAAGCCAACACAGGAACTGTGCTGAATCAGCTCTGGCAGAGTAAAAGGCCATTCCAGCAGGGGCAGATCAAGGCCATCAATTCACTGCCACCAATTTAAGAAACCACTGACTGAAAAGAAAGATTGAGCATGCAGCCTAATTAGCATGGGAAGCAAGAGGCTCCTTAAATGACAGCAGACAGAATACTAATTATTATGAAAACTAGATAAATTGAAGTCAATGAATATTAATTCCTTTTACTGTGTATATAAATAGGGGAAAATTTTGGTCATCTTGGTGCTGATGGTGGCTTATAAAAAAGAGGGAGAGAGACTTTCTACGCAGACAGATACAGGATAAGGGGGGACAGTTTTAAACTAAAAAAGGGGAGAGTAGATATTTGGAATAAATTTTTCACTGTGAAGGCAGTGAGGCCTTAACACAGGTTGCCCAGAGAAGCTGGGAATGTCCCATCCCTGGAAATGTTCAAGGCCAGGTTTGGACAGGGCTTAGAGCAACCTGGTCTAGTGGAGGCTGTCCCTGCCCATGGCAGAGAGGTTGGAACTAGATGGGTTGAAAAATATGATTTTTCAGGTCATTTTTAATGCAAATGATTCTGAGATTGATCTTCGATCAGAGTATCAGTAGGATGCTGCTCATCAGGAGCAGAGGTTTCTGGGAACTCAGGTGTATGGAGACCTGATTCCTCCACAGCTGGAGCAGGAAAGAGGTGTTATTCCTGAGACTAGCATCAGCCCCTGGAGTGTTTTTGGCAAATCACTTGCTCTTTGTTCCCTGTCAGGAGAGACTAAATGCAAGCCTTAATTATGCAGTGACTGGATCCACATGAAGGATTTTGGCTGTTTATTTATTGTCTGTGTGACACACTGGTTGCTAAATCAGAGGCCATGAGGAGGTGGTTACAGGGTGGTGATTTTTCCTGTTTTCCCTGTATTTGTTGGCAGGAGCAGCGAATTCCAGTGGCCAGGAGAGGCAGCCAGCAGAGAGAAGTGACCCTGAGAAGACATGGAGTCCTCTGGGTCGCCTCACCCTGGCTGTTTAGGGGGCTGCTCCAAGGTCTCGTGAGTTGATTGGTGTAGCACATAGCCAGGTAAATACTCTTACATAACCTTAGGCCTGCTGGTTTTGCCATTTATGCCCTTTTTTCATGACCATCTGACTGTGCTTTTGCTAACAAAGCTGAACAACTTTAACAGGAACACAGCAATGTGCCGAAGGTCAAACCGTGTGTCTGCAACATCAGCCTCATTACTCAAGCTACACAATGGGTAGGCTAAGACACCCTTATGCATGCTTTGTGTTAATTATTGTGGAAAACGCCACCGTAAAGGTGATTTGTAAGGACAGACTTTGCACAGCCCTGACTCAATGTGTGCAACCCTAACAGTGCTCAGCAGCCTCATCTCACCAGCGATGGTTCTCCAGACACATGAGATGCTTCTGAAGGTAGTGTTGTTTATCTGTGGCCTGATTCCCCAGCACTGCTTGCTGTGTACATCTCCCAAATGTTTTAGTGTCTGCCAGACTTCTGTTGGCAGGATTAACCTCTCCAGCTGTGCCACTGTTGGGTTATTTCCCTTTGATATCCTCAGAGTTTCCCAAGCTCACCAGCTCCAACACTTTGTGACTCAATCTTTGCAAGGATGACAAAACAACACAGATGGGTGAAAGATATTGTAAAGTTTACACAAAACAAAAAGAACTGTGAGGTGGAGATTAGTTTTCAATTACTGTTTTATTGACATGATTGAATACACAGTCAGGTTTTATAATTCAGGATTGTGGCTGCTAAATGTGGTAATGGGCAAGGGTAGCTATTTGAATTGCTAGAGAACTACTGAATCTGCCTGCTGTTCCAGGGGCTGAGTTTCAAACTGAGGGAGGGTGGGTTCATGATTCATTGGCAGCTGTTGTTTTTTGTTTGGAAAAAATTCCCTTTCCTTGAAATGTGCAAATGAAAAAAGAATATCCCCTTGGTAAATTGTGGGAGTGAAGGGTGGAGAGGAAGCTAAGCCATTCTATCTCCAGTTTGGTGCAGGGTAAGGGAAATTAGATTTCTATGTTTTTCTTTCATTTCTGAACATCTTTCACTGTGTGACAAGGGACAGGAGGAAGGAAGGTTTCCTGCTGTTTCAGTAGGTGTAGCTGGCAGTGAACAGTGACTGCATGGCAGCTGCGTCATTCTTCCCAGACTGGACATACTGCCCCCTGCAAGCCAAACTGTTAATCTGAAAAAGAAGAAGAAAAAAAATGAGGAGGAAAGAATCAGCATGGAGTAAGAAAGGCAGATGTGTAAAGAACAACCAGCAGGAGTAAGCAAGGCACAAATAACAGAGTAGTGTCCCTGGTGAACATGAAGTGCTAGGAGGGGTGGGATCAAGAGCAGCCTTAGGAAGGTGACAACATGTGTCCCTTCATGGTGACAGCTCTTCTCTCTGCTTGGGGGAAGCCTCGTACCTGTGCCCGCTTGCGGAAGGCCTCTTGAGCAGCCTTCTTGTTCTCGCTTTTCCCCAACCATGCAGCCAGGGCAGAGGCTTGCAGGGCTCTCCCGTAGGAAAACGTCAGTTTCCAAGGCTTAGGCAGAGGGCACTGATTCATGGCATTCAGGTTGAGAGAAGCCTCCTCTTCACTCTGACCTCCAGACAGGAAGCAGATTCCTGCAAGAAAGAGGTTTTGGGGCTTAGAAGTAGTGTTCCAGCCACCTCAATCCCTGGTCTTTACTTGCCAGAGGAGCAGGTATGTCAGAGGTAGGAGAGAGAGTGAGAATGAAGAGGTAGGAATGAATCAGGAATCACCAGGAACAGCAGCAGGAACGGTGCGGAGGAGAGTAGTGACAGTTGCTATGGCTACATCCTGAGGGGTGTACTTCTTGGAGCAGGAATGCCCAGCCGTCACCATGTTGGGTTTCAGCAGTGTCCCCTCCAGGTACACGTGATGATCATTCAAAGCCTTGTAGACAGCAGCCAGAACCTGAAAACAGGAGGATTGAATACAGACCTCTGCTCAGATCTTCACCTCAGGCTGCTGTGGAAAGACAGCTTATTCTTTGGTACTGTAGCAAGCTCGAATTGAATTTTGCTTTCTGATGAAATTTATTTTTGGGGTTACAGCTGGGGACACCTCATGGCTTTTGAGATGACCATGATACAACTTTTCATATTTATGGGATTTGTCCTTCCTGAAATTGAGGTAATTGAGTTTGGTCCTGATACATCTTTTTGAGATTGAGAATGCCTATTGTCACTGAAGTGAAAATCCAAGAGCACGGAAAATACTCTTGGATTTCCCATTTGTTTGTTATGTGCCTAGGAGAAGCTCATTTTTGTGATGCAGCTATGAAGGACATTTTTGGTCAAATCTCTTTGAGATCTGTGAGCACAAACTGCACAGAGTTTAGCTGCAGGTTTGTGAGGGAGAGCACAGAGGGAGGAATCTCTTCTTACCTTCTCTGTGACATACTGACAGCGCTGGAGATCATGGTCTCCATCAGGCAGGATTTCTGGCTCCACGATGGGTACCAAGCCATGCTAGGAAAAGAAAGAGAGGGGATTCTTTAGGGCTGTGGAAGTAAAATTGTTCTTGTTGTTTGTCCTGACTTCGGTGGTATTCCTTCCTGCTGTGCTGCCCTTCCTCCTTGTCTTTCCAAAACCTTCACAGGGATTCTCCTTTTGAGCTCCCTAGTATATTATCACAGGGAACAGGGAGAAGGGGCAACAGCATCTCAGGAAAGGTTACTGGAGGGAAGGTACCTGCTGGCAGATACTGGCATAGCGTGCCAAGGTGTTGGCATTCTCCTGGATGGCGAGTTGAGAGGGTGTTGTGCTGGTGATCTTCAGCACTGCACGCCACTTGGCAAAGTCAGCGCCATCTTTCTTGTACTGAGCACAGCGTTCAGCCAGCCCATCCAGCCCTGCAGAGGGAGAGTGATGTTTCACTGAGAGCTGCTCTTCAGCACAGAGCTTTGGAGAGTACTGTGACTATAGCCAAGGCCGCGTCTCAGGTGAGTCACCCTATGGCTTTGCTGCCCAGGCCATAGCTTAGGCTCCTTAGATCTCTCCTTACCTTGGATGGTGGTTTCTCCATTTGTTCCTGCTAGAGGTGCTGTGCCTTTATCCAGCTGTGCAGGTCAGAAAAACAGGAAGGGTTACAGAAAGATGAGAATTGGTCTAATTCTTACCCATGTCTAGTCTGCCTTTGAAGGAGGACTGTTACTAATGTGTGGACCTTAATGTGCTCAGGGTGAAAAGGAAGGAAATGTTGGAGCAAAGGGGAAGAAAAAGGAATTAACTGGGTAAGAGGAGGGTCAATGTGTATATAGATGTCTGCAGGAAATGGCTCAACAACTCTGTGAGATGTGGAAAGAATTAGGTTTAGGTTACTGCATGGAGAGGCTTATTTGCAGTGAATGGGGAGTAGATGGGAGTTGATGTATGGAAAGTTCCAGCATCTAGTGCAAATGAGCCTCTAGTTAGTTGCACAAAAGCAATGCAGAGAATTTTAAAACCAAGGACAAAAATGGGGGGAGGGGGAGGAGAGGGGAGGGGGAGCAGTGTTA